TGCGAAGCGGAGCTAAACCCCCTTAGCTGTTATAAATTCACTGTAAACCACGGCTTCACGGGGCTTATTGCTTTTACAAAACGGTTATTCCATATACGTAATAAGGTTTCACAAAATAAAACAGTGCAATTAAAGTGTAATGATACTAATAAAAACATTATTCTTCCGCCAAACAATGTAGTTCCTCAGAAACGGTTGTTGTTGCAACAAAGTGGTTGCTAAGCAACAGACAAATGTAAACAAAGGTGTATGTTTGTAGAGTAATTTACAACAGCTTCGAACACGGCTCAACCAATCAGAATCAAGGACCGGAACTATCCGTTTTATAATATGGTTTTCTATCCTTCAGCCTCCATGTTGAACTTTTAGTGGTCATGAGATCTGAAGTTCATAAGTTCTGGTTTGATTGGAGAGTTTAGCAGACCGAACTGAAGAGACAGAATCCCTCTGTAATGCATGGGCTGTCACATCCTTGTTTCTCAGTTGGTCTCCCAGTCTGCAGCAGAAATACGATTTGGTTGGTGAATATGTGCAGATTAGGAAGACTTTGAGTGGAGACGCAGACAAGAGCAATCCTGGACTGAAACACCTCGCTCGGCTCAGTAGACAAATGGAGAATGAGATGAGTCTGGATGTGCTGGATCTGTGTGCTTGAGAGAAAGAAGCTAATGAGCTCTGTGTGCTCTCATTATACTGCATTTCACTCAAACTGACCTAAAACGCATGTGTGTGCATACTGCTTGTGTCTGCTAACACCTCTGCTGCTAATTTTATGCCCTTCTAAATATAAAGGAGTGGGAACTTGTGTTTTCAGGTCAGAGATACTATGTAAAGAACCTTCAGCCGCAATTCCCATTTGTTAGCAACGCAATGATGCAAGTGTGTGTTTGTATGTCACCTAATTAGAGGAAATATGAGCTGTACCTTTTGGATGGCTTCCAAGGCTTTGCTATTGTATGTGGTTGCTAGGGTGTTCTGGGATGGTATCTAAGTAGTTGGCTTTCTGGCCCAGATAGAAGATTTCACTGCTGTCTCTGTGATATTCTGATCTTTATGGGTCTCTAAGACAGTAGATACAACTCTAGGTTTTCATTCTTATAATACCAGAACATGCATCTGTTTGTCAGTAGATGTATGTTGCTGTTCAAAATTTTGGGGATGCAAAAAAATAATAGATCATAGGTGACAGAAAACACATTTATAATGTTACAAAAGATTTATATTTCAAATAAATACTCTTCTTTTTAACTTTCTATGCATCAGATAAACCTTTCTTCAAAAATATAGAGCGGCACAACTGTTTTCAACATTGATAATAATCAGAAATGTTTCTTGAGCATCAAATCAGTATATTATAATGATTTCTGAAGGATCATGCGACACTGAAGACTGGAGTAATGATGCTGAAAATTCAGCTTTGATCACAGAAATAAATTACATTTGAACATATTCACATAGAAAACCGTTATTTGAAATTGGAATGTTTCACAATATTACTGTATTTTTGATCAAATAAATGCAGCCTTGGTGAGAAACTTTCTTACAGAGTAACTCTTACAGAAAATTCTTACCCCAAAACTTTTGAACAGTATTTTAGATGTAATTGTAAATTTGGTTGGGTTTTATTTTGACGAGAGGAATAATACTTGCTGTAAATAACCTTGTTCTTTAAACAACTGGTAAAGAAAAGATTCAGAGTGCAACCCATAAATATGTTCTGCCAACGCCTACACAGCAAAGTTTAATACTGGAGGTTCAAACCACTGGTGATTCAGCCTTAATTGTATTAAAGTTGCTTTGAACAATTGTTAATAAAGTAAATCCACTTCCTCATCCATCATCTGTGTGCCTCTCATTTTCAGACCACCTCAGGAGAAGACATGCGAGATTTCACCAAAGTCTTAAAAAACAAGTTCCGCTCAAAGAAGTATTTCGCCAAGCACCCTCGCCTGGGATACCTGCCCGTCCAGACGGTCCTCGAAGGAGACAACATAGAAACGTAAGCATCTTGAAAGAGAATACAATCGTTCTCTGTGTGTTGCAATTGTTTGAATTGGACTCTCCGCAGGCTTTGGCTTTCTGCCGCCTCTGTCTTCACCCGGAGAGCTTTTACAGCCTTCACGCAATGAGCTTATTCACATTGCAAGGTTTGAAGAACTATTGAGCAGTGTGAAGAATGGTGACTGACTTCTTTTCTGAGTAGAAGTCCTGAAAGACAGGAATGCCAAGGCCTAACACATTGGACTATTAAAAACTGAGATGCTGAGATGTCATTATTTGCGGTGTTTTAAGTAGTTGTATGTCAAGTTTTTGCTAAATAGGTTTTTAGTGTGGAGTCCTGTAAGAAATCATTGAATTTGCTTCAAAATGGTTCTCCGGTGATAACAGCTGGCCTTTTGATTTCTGCCAAAGTCTGTTGGTTTCCACGCATTGGGTTTGAATTTCCAACTTGAATTGAATGATACGCCTCTGGTGGTGAATAAACGGAAGTCCATGGACAGGATTCGTGACAGCCACATTAGTAATCAAGCCTCAGACACCTTGAATATAGGCTGTGTCTGCTCAGAGCTGCTGTTCAAATCTTATCATGTCAACACGTCTCGCTTCATAGTGCTGATTTTCTGTCTGTACAGGAATGTTGATATATCTTGAAATGTATCCTCTACGTAGAGGCCTGTGCTGCGGTGTGCATTATTTTTCATATGCATCGGTTTACATAAGAGATCGATGCATAACATCTGGATAATATTCAGTACGATTATCAAAGCATAAATCCAGTAAATCGCTTCCATCAACACCTCCAAAGCTTGCACAGACATATACCACTTCCTGGATCAACATTTTACTCTGTAACTTTATGCCGTTTTCATTTATATGCTGTCTATTGCTGATGATCGCATTATTTTTCATATGCATCGGTTTACATAAGAGATCGCTCGTTTCTCCGTCCTGTTCACGTGTGTTTTTGTTCGGGAGGTTTTGTACTAATTCAGAAGATAGCTTTTCTAAACACTCTAATTAGATTATCCGCTCTGTACTCTAAAGATTCCAGCTGGTTGTGATCTCTTCCCAATCCTAGAAGGTTTTGTCTTGCTTTCTACTGCCGACCTTCTGAAGGTGTGTCAGATTTGTGTGCAAAAAAAGGTCCATTGTCTATTTCAATAGTGTAGCGATGTATGATGCACGGAATTTGCGTAGGGAACTTCTCCACCCTTACGCAAAACTCCTATTAGAATGACTGGAATTCACCCGCAAAATGACACTGAGCAGAAAGAAATGTAAATGCACCAGGAATAGTTCACCAAAAATGAAAATTTTGTCATCATTTATATTTTGAAGAATTTTGAAGAACCAAACAGTTGTTTGGTCCCCATTGACTTCCGTAGTAGAAATACTATGGAAGTCAATGGGGACCATCAACTGTTTGATTATCAACATTCTATAAAATATCTTCTTTTATGTTCAGCATAAGAAAGAAACTCATACGGGTTTGGAATGACATGAGGGTGAGTAAATGATGACACAATTTTTATTTTTGGGTGTAGCCTCCAGTATATTTTGCTGTATGAATATTTGAATATGCAATACACCAAAATAAAGATCAGAGCTACTGCTTTTAAACAAAAAAATGTTTTATTCTAACTTAAAGCATTCTTTTTTTATCAACACTTGGATATAGGTAGGTTTCATAAAAACTGCATACATTTGATCAAAAAGGTAAGAAAATCACATTAATATCAAAAACTACATCTGGATAATATTCAGTACGATTATCAAAGCATAAATCCAGTAAATCGCTTCCATCAATACCGTCCAAAGCTTGCACAGACATATACCACTTCCTGGATCAACATTTTACTCTGTAACATTATGCAGTTTTCATTTATATGCTGTCTATTGCTGATAATCGCATTATTTTTCATATGCATCTGTTTACATAAGAGATCGCTAGTTTCTCCGTCCTGTTCACATGTGTTTTTGTTCGGGAGGTTTTGTACTCGTTCAGAAGATGCGTAATAGCGCCCCCGAGTGTATAACAGTGAAAACACGAAAAGCCGTAAAAACTCGTCTTTGGCGGGGAAGCGTTTTCTTGTAAAAGACGAGATAACTCGTCAATGGCGGGGAAAGAGTTAAGTGATTATTTGATGTCTATGAACAAAGATGGGTCACATATCTCTCACTTTCAGTTGAACAAACTCAACAAATTCAAGTTTATGGCATAGTTAGTTTAGCAGAATGCTAAAGTATAATATGCATAAAAACAGCAAGCACACGTATTAAATTGTAATAATTAATTATATTTAATAGACCCTTTTGGACCCTGGACGGTGATGCATTTCCATAGTAAATTGTAAATCGAGCAATTTTTTTATATATTAAAAAAATAACACTATATACTTATGTAACACTATACTTTGTGATGTCTTACCTTGGCATTAAAATACAGAAAACTTGCTGTATCGGAGTGTTTAAACAGTGACACCATTAAGAATGCTAAGAAAAGCTATTGTGTTTTTTTTTCTTTTGCTGTTGAGGCAAATGGAAATGCAAGAATTATATTTGTTGTAGTTTCCTTTCACCACTATAGACATTTACCCGACTATGATGACTTCTGCTCCCGAGAACCCTGGGAATGTGAAAAGGGCCCATAATCAACATTTCTCTCATTTTGCCTGCCAAATTGCATGGTTTTTTTTCCACCGAATTTGTCGCAATACATTTTCCGTTAAAGATACATGCGATGCCGGCTTAGAATTTGAACAAAAGAAGGCATCTTGGAAGGCAGCGCGATTATGCAGCCTGTCTTGTGCCTCCGTGTTGGGAACGTGCCTACTGTATGATGTCTCAAAATGCCACCCTAGGCAGTTCAGTGTTTTTGGAACTGAGCCCAAGTGTGGCCAATTCAAGAAAATAAAGAGTTGTGCACTTCCCACTTCAGCCTTATCTCCATACTACCGTTGATTAAGGCACTTCTGGTTTTCCAGTGGGACCATTTCGTGAATTTGTGTCAGAAAGAAGCTTCTGCTAAATGACAGGGAACTGCAGATGACCCATTTCCTCAGTTGGTGCTGATTATAAATCCGAAATGACTGCTCGCGCTGCACTGGCTTCCTGTCGTTCCACGTTAGCGTGACGTTCAGCTGATCTGAGCGTCGGTGATAGCAGAACGTTTGATTTTCAGGTTTCTGAACAGACGTGCTGCGGTGTGCACCAGCATGAGTAAACCCCATCGCCACGTGTCAGATTTAACAAAGAGTGATGACCGTGCTTGAAATATATTCAGAGAGCTTTCCAAAACCCAAATGAAAGCGCACAGTGTTTGGTTTTCTTGAACTTCTGAAGCGCCAGGGGATATTGACCGTTTTTTATTAGCGAGCCCGTGTTTGTTGACTCTGTGAGCACTAATTTACAGAATCCCTCATTACTTTGAGTCCAGCGCTCTGTACATTGTGATACACCAAACCAGCCGTTTAACAGCCCAGATAACTTGAGCGTTTTGTCTTTGACACGACTCATATTTCTCCCTCTTCAGCCGAACTGAAAGTCAACATGAAATCATAATAGACTCTCTTTTATGTTCTTAATACGCTTCCGTGGTCAAACAAATCATCAGCGCTAGGGATGTGCATCTCCATAACTGAGGCCGATGCGATATGCCCCACTTTCAAAATAATAAAAGTATAACACATCTGCTAATAATTATATATAAATAAATTGTTTTTTACCAATGCAAATATGTTAGAAACGATGCATCACGATAAAAATGCCAACTTTTATCCAATGCACACTTTTTTAAATTGATGCATTGCACCGTTAAATTTTATGCCGATGCATCGACGCGAATCCGTGAATCTTACCATCCCTTATCAGCGCACATTATTCCATACAAAAATCTTTCATCAAAATGTAAAAATGGAAACAACTTTCCTCCTGTCCAGGTTACTAGCTATAAAGTGGCGATGTAATGGAAGGAGGGATGGATCTTTTCTTTCATATTGTTACGTACATCCAAGTTGAAAAAAGGTGAGAAATGCAGGACTTGGTTCTGTGCATCAACTGTTGATTGGTTGTTGAGATGTGGGCATGGCACTCAAAAATGAATGTGATGCAGTCAATTGTATTTGAAACTAAATGATTGGAAACGTCCAGCATATGTCACCAGAGAGAAGTCTGTCATTTCACTGGAAGAGATCTTGTCCAAAAAATAAATTATGAAACGAATAGTTCCGGTCCTTGATTCTGATTGGTTGAGCCGCGTTCGAAGCTGTTGTAAATTACTCTACAAACATACACCTTTGTTTACTTTGTGTGTTGCTCAGCAACCAATTTGTTGGAACTACAACTGTTTCTGAGGAACTACATTGTTTGGCGGAAGAATAATGTTTTTATTATCATTACACTTTATTTGCTCTGTTTTATTTTGTGAAACCTTACTACGTATATGGAATAACCGTTTTATAAAAGCAATAAGCCCCGTGAAGCCGTGGTTTACAGTGAATTTATAACAGCTAAGGGGGGTTTAGGCACTCCGCTTCACGTCGTAACAACGCCCCTTAGCTGTTAGAAATTCACTGTAAACCACGGCTTCACGGGGCTTATTGCTTTAATAAAATGATAATA